TTGTCTAGCCTACAGCCCTGGAAGATAAAAATAAATTCTTCCTCCAGAACAAAGGGCAGCTATGTTAATTTTATAGTATAATAACATTTTTTTCTGGAGCAAGGTCAGGAAGGCTCGTTGCCTACTATAAAAGATGTGGGCTCCTTAAACTTAAGGTTCCTTTCCTGTATGCAACCCATTGCATGCACAGATTTCATCTGCCCCTCATCATATCACCATATGGGAACTGGTCTTGGGAACTCTGGCTACCACTATTGCCTTGAATGGTGAAGTCCTTTGTCTTTGACCCAGGAGTCTCGTGTCTTCTGCCAGCATCACTGAAATAGTGACAGGCTAACATGTTATTTTACAAGTAGGACAAACCCTTAACAATTATTGATACTCACCACCTCTTCATTTGTTCTGATCATTACCCAGGAAGCTGCTGAGAGAGGGCTCTGCTTTTCTGAGGACTGCCAAATTCAGCGACCAAACTGTCACACTAATGTGTGTGGACCAGGAGAAGGTGAAAGAGTAGAATCAGAAATGTTTTTCAGTCAATTTCTGAGTAGGCTGTTTCAATACTCAGAAACACAAGATGGCTGTGAATGGCGGAGAGCACAGAAAGTCCATCAGATACTTGACTTGCAACACATTGTTGAGAGCCTTTTGCAATAAAAGGCTCACCATTGTCAGAATGCAAATGGACCAGAAAGCCAAACACAGGATATGGATCAGTTTCACCGGCCACAATGCTCTGGCACGGAATGGTGGATCAGACTAGAACAACATGAAAAAGTGTCAATAGCAGTGAGGCACCACCAACAACCCTAAGAGAGGTCAAGGGTCCAGTGTAGCACACCTGCCAGGAGTAGTCAAGGGCAATGTCCCATGTTATATTGTCCTCCCACTTGGTAAGGAAAGTAAGGTTGGGCAATTGAAGGCTGAGAGACTGCAATGTAGTTCTAGAAAAGCTTCATTAAGGCTGACAGGGAGTCCTAGAGCTAAAGAAATCTGTCATGGGTGTCCCAGGGGCAGGTATCAGAATCCCCAGTGTGCTCAGTCATTGGCTGGGAAACCCCATGAGCAATATGAATGGAAAAATAGATAGAGTTCAGCAAATGTAGTTGTATCCAGCTACACTCTTTGCAAGTAGAAAACCTAAGAGGTACATTTTCATGGTTACCATAACCAGCTATGGTTAACAAAAATATTCTATAATAAATCATATCAAAAGGGACTAAGACTCTGGAATAGACAAATGGAATAGCAAAAAGTTAATACATAGTCAATATATACACATGTACATATACCATAAATATATAAAAGGGAAAGAATCAGACTGTCATGTGCACTGTCAATTTGTAGTATATATATAAATATTTATACTTTAAAAAGATTCTGTGAGAAACTAGCACCATCTTTAAAGCTCTGGAGAGAAAGGTATACTGACATACACATAAATTTTTCAGTGTGATAGATCACATTTTCTTCTCTCAGTAACCAAAAACAGCCTGAGGGATTTCTTTTCATCTTTTGTCTCTCTGAGACTCAGCTAAGTAGGAGGAAGGAGTAGAGAAACACAGCTACCTTCCTTCTCACAGCCCAGCTGGAAAAGGCCACCCTTTGGCTACCTGAGATAAGGACCTGGTGGGGGGGAGAGGGGATCATGGGGTGTAGCAGGCCTTGAGAGTGCAGTTATATCATGTCTTATCACCTATATACCTACATGTCAATTAGTTTAAGGAGTCATTGAAATATAATTCACAGCCCTGGCTAAATGGCTCAGTTGGTTGAAGCATTGTCCAGAACACTAAAAGGTTGGGGGTTCAATTCCTAGTCAGAGGATGTATGAGAGGAAACCAATCAATATTTCTCTCTCACATCGATGTTTCTCTCTCTCTCTCTTTTTCTTTCCCCCTTGCCTTTTCCCCTCTCTCTAAAATCAATAAACATATCCTGAGGATTAAAAAAATAGAGAAAGAAATATAATTCACATATCATAAAATTCACCTGCACGTAGTACACAATTCAATGGTTTTAGTATATATGCAGTGATGTACAACCATCTCTATGATCTGAGTTCAGGATAGTCACATCATCCCAAATAAGAAACTCATTAACAGTCCTTCACCAGTTCCCTCTTCCCCACCCATAGTCTTAAAAAACCACTATCTACTTTCTATCTCTATGGAGTTGCCCATTCTGGACATTCCATATAAATGGAATCACATAATAGATAGTCTTTTGTACCTGGCTTTTTTCATCTAGCACAGTGTTTTCAAGGTTCATCCATGGTGTACATATGTCAGTATGTTAGTCCATTTTACAGCTGAATAATATTGTATAGATATATTATACTTTGTTTATCCATTCATTAATTAATGGATACTTGGGCTGCTTTCATGTTTTGGGGCTATTATAAATAATGCTGTTATGAACATTTATGTACAAATTTTTGTGTGGGGCATATGTTTTCAATTTTCTTGGGCATATACCTAGGAGTGGAATTGTTGGCTCATATGGTAATTCTAGGTTTAATGTTATGAAGAACTGCAAAACTGCTTTTCACACCAGCTGCACTAATTTACATTCCTACCAACAATATATGAGGGTTTCAATGTCTCCATATTCTGGCCAACACTTATTACTGTCATCTTTTTTATGATAGTTATCCTAGTGGGCTTGAAGTTATATTCTATTATGATTTTTATTTGCATTTCCCTACTAGCTAATGATACTGACATCTTTTCATGTATTTATTTGGCCATCTTTGGAGAAATGCTTTCAGATCTTCTGCCCATTTTTTAAAAATTGGGTTACTTGTCTTTTTGTTTTTGTTTGTCAGAATTCTTCATATATTCTAGATACTAGTTTCTTATCAGATATGTGGTTTCTAAAAAGTTTCACTCATCCTGTGGGTTAGTTATCCTTTTACTTCCTTGATATATCACTTATAGCACAAAAGGCTTAAGTTTTGATATAGTAAAATTTATCTATTTTTTATTTGGTTGCTTAAGCTTTGGTGTCATATCTAAGCAACGATTGACTAACTAAAGGTCACATAGATTTACTGTCATTTTTTTTCTTAAAGTTTAAAAGTTTCAGTTTACATGTATGGTCTACTTTGAGTTAATTTTGGCTATAAGAAAGGGTTTCCATTTCATTCTTTTTTTTAAGATTTTATTTATTTATTTGTTTTTAGAGAGGGAAGGGAGGGAGAGAGAGAAACATCAATGTGTGGTTGCTGGGGGTTATAGCCTGCAACCCAGGCATGTGCCCTGGCTGGGAATCGAACCTGCCACACTTTGGTTCGCAGCTCGCGCTCAATCCACTGAGCTACCAGCTAGGACTTCCATTTCATTCTTTTGCATGTGGCTATCCACTTCATCCCACACCATTTATTGAATATTTTTCTTATCGCATTGAACAAGCATGTCAATTTTAAGCAAAAATGATAATTTTTCTATGACCACAGTCTGAGAGGACAATCAGACTCATTAATTCAGTCTTCTCATATTCCAGAATTTCTACCACTTGGTATTTTGTGAGACAAAGATCCTCTAAACATATTTGTTAACTGAACAAATACAAGAACCTACTTAACCTTGCTGAACTACCTAAAAACTTGAACCACTTCTGTTTGCTATAAATACTCAGTGCTGTGAAGGAGAGTGCTGGTTTCTATTGAAACTTGATCCCAGAGTATTTATCTGGGAAGCTGGGGGACTGATTTTCCTGTTTTATCTATGACCTCTCCCAATAAATGCATTTATTAATTTCCATGAATTGTTATGGTTTATGGGAGGTGTGTAGCAGCCACCAGTTGTGTGGCTAGAAAATGCAGGCTGCCAACAGAAGGCCACAAAGACTATTGAATCAGCCCTTCCCGACTTTATCACTGCCTTGGCCACTATGTATTTATGCCACTGTTTGGCCTTCCATCTTACTGCACAGAGAATAATGCAGATATTTAAGTGTTCTCCAGGCCAATCTTATTGCAACATTTCGAAAACACCAAATGAGATTTTTGCCACTAAGGTGGACCAACTCAAGCAAACCAGTTGGTGCATGGAAGTCACTCAAAACAAATTGGTAGAGAACATTAAAGATTTAATGCCAAGCTTCCATGCTCCATGGGACTTCAGGGAGAAAAAAAAAAGCTACTGAAGTGGTCTTCAAAGAGCCCAGACACAATCTCAACCAAAGGTTCTTAATTATCTTAAAGAAGTTAATCCCTAATTCACCTGTACTTTTATTTTAGGTTGGTGTTGCTCATTCTAATTCTTACACCACAGTCAGGGCCAGAGCTATTCCAGGAAAAGGAGACCTCCATCGTACCATTCATGAGTCCTGGCACGCTCCAGAGAAACATGGTTCAGGCTCTTCACCCTTTCAGAGCAGCTGAAGGTGCCTACTCCATCCTCTGGACAGGGACATGAAAAGGCTTAGAATCCTAGGACCTTAGATCTGGAAGAGCCCTTAGAGATGCATGACATTCCCAGGTTTGTAGCTGAGACAACTAAGGCCCAGAGAATTAAATGATTTGGCTTTAGTGACACAGTGAATTAAGGTTGAAGAAGAAATATCTATAATGTATTTGAAGCATGTTAATATTCTGAGTCAAAATCACTGATGTAAGCAGTTTTTTCTTCAAAATCTGCTGTTTCAGACATGCCACTATCTTACCTAAATGTTAAAGCTGAGGTTTTGACAATCAACACCAAGTGCTGGGAAAAAGTGGAGTGGTAAGGCAGTTACTACAGCTTCAAAGAAACCAAATCTAAATATAATTCCCTACTACCTTGTAGGGATTAAAAAGATATCCTCTAGTACCTTTTTCTCAGCATTAAATGCATTACAATGAGAGGTAAATTGACCTTTGTTCCTTGGATTATTCTGATATTGTTCAAAGAGTCTCCCAGTTTGCATTGCACTGAGCCCAGGTGCGGAGCCACCCTTGAAGGCAAGTCCCCAGACCTTACTGTCAAATTCACCAGTTATTTTCTCTCTCTCTGCAGCTGCACTCAGAAGACTGCTTTTGTGGACCACCAGGAATTTCCTGTGATAGAATATCAGAAAGCTACTGGTGACTCGGAGGAGGTGACTTCACAGGGCAAAAGTTCCCTTTCTATAATAAACATTCTCAGTGTGGCCATGTAGGAGACTTCCTACACAGACCCCACACCTATGAGCCACTTGTCATCTTGACACCAAATAGCCAGAGAAAGAAACAGAACCATTTGTAAGAGATTATCTTTTTTAAAGTGAACTTTGGTCTGGGTCTGGATATGTTTACATCATCATCAAAACCAGTGAAGCAAAAGCTTACCTAAAAAGGATTTTAAGAGAACATACAGGTTTTCTGAAGCAAATAGGCAAGCCATTTCTCAGCTCCTAAGTGAGGGGTAGAGGCTGTCAAAGGACTCTAAGACCCTTTAGCATTTGAGGGCCTTCACTTCCTGGCACACTGACCAGCCTTGTACCCATGGGAGGCCTGGGAGCATCAGGTTGTCATGTTTCAGGAGGCTTTACCTCTCCAACAACAATTCTAAATGCCACAGCTCAGAAGAGTTACTAAAGAAAGAAGCCAGAACTTCTAGGTCATCAGCAGTGGGAGCTGGCATATGCTAAGACACATCTAATGCTCTAAGCCTGAGGGGCAGCCAGCACAGCTGGCCTGGGCCTCTGCAGTGTGCTAGGCAGCTGTAGGAGTAGGCACCACAAATATTGCACTGGACTTCTTACCTAGCCTTTGTGTCTCAGTAGTGCAATGGATTGTCATTCCCAAAATCTCATTCTTAAAAGCTGCTTGTATTATCTGTAAATAAGAAAAAACATGAGGATTTCTACCTTGATAGCTCTCTACCATGACAGAGGATGAATCCACCGAAAACTGAAAGTAAGCTTCCGCCCTTTCAAAGATGTTAATAATAATCCATTCTTCACCATGGCTCTTACTTATAACACCTGCCTTCCCCTTCCACCTAGTTTATAGCTTTATCTCCCAACTTTCACTTGTTTCCATTGGTTAATATTTCTCATTAGTATGCTTACTCTCCTTAGGTAGCTAATAAGCTCCTCTCTCCTTTTTGTAAAATAGGACCTAATTGTTTGATTAGAATCACATCTTTCCAGGTTCTCATGACTCAAGAACAATCTCTCTGTCTCTCTCTCTCTGTCTCTCTCTCATACACACACATGACACTGCAGGAGGCCTAGGGTCCTTACCAGGCTTTCTGTGAAAAGGTGACAGCAGCTGAGTTGAGTTGCAGGTGGAGGGGGCAACTATCCTCAAATATTCCCCAGGCCCCATCTACCTTAGGGTTATGTAGAAGACCAGTAGGACAAGCAGCAGAGTTATAAGCATCTTCAGTACAATCCTTTCATCTTCATGGATCTAGATTAATCATAATTCTCTTAAAGGGCTCCAAGTATAAGAGAAGCATTTCAACCACCTCTATATTTCTTTTATTCCTATTTCTATACAAATTGGGATTACAGGTGGAACTTTGTAACAACATTTTGGCACCTCTTACACCTTTTCTGAGGCAAAATACAGTTGGCTTTTGTTGTCACTTCTACTGTCTCCATCTTAGGATTTGACAGTGACTCCTTTCTAGACTGTGATATGGGTAGCCCAGGCTCTCTCCCCCTCCTTCATTCCAGAATACTCTGTTTAAGCCTGTCATCATTTTCAGTGGGGCACATCACCTAAGAGTGGTGATCCTAGGGTCATGGTCTAGGAAAGAGAACTGATAGGTAACACATATGACAGGATTACAGATTCTATTCTTATCCAAACAGTATTTTAAATCTTCAGAGACATCTTAGTGCTTGAGCCCTAAGCATTCAACAACCAGCCCTAATACTCTCCCAGCCCAGACAGAACCCTGTCTCTGGTGAAGAAACAAAGCACATATTACAAGGTTTGGGGAAGAAGGCAAAGGGGCAGGCCAGTCTCCCCACTTCTCACAAGCTTACTCCTCCCATTCTGGGATGGCAGCTCCACTCCTGAGCTGTTGCTCTGTTTTGTTATTACCCACTATGTCTCTTTGCCCAGGATGCTGGGGTGAAACTTACTTTCATCCATTGTTTAGCTTCCTCGTCAATTTCCTAACCCATGACTGAATCATTACAAATTAACATTTACAAACACATTTGTTTAGGTATAATAAACTGGCACTGACTTCTCCTCTATAGAGTATACAGGAAGGATATATACAATGAGACCTAAACAGAAACCAAGGCCTGGAGGACAGAACTAGGACCTAAGAGTGAAGTAATCTGGGTCTCAGAGCCAACCACCCCTCCCCTGCTATGACAAAGAACAAGGGACAGCATCTCACCAGACCTTGGCCTACTAACAATGTATGAAAATTTAAGGGCATTAAGATGATTTGTGAGCACTTATCTAGTACCAGACATAAAATGGCCCAGATCCCTGCCTAATAAACATAGCATAATGGGGAAGGCAGATATAAAAAACATAATTAAAAACAATAAATTTAGGAGTGTCTAAATTACTACAGAGGAAAACTCAAAAGTGCTCTAAAGAGAAGTAATTCAGTTCAGATATTGTGATGGCATTAACTGATGCATTTTCCCTGATTAAGAAAATGTATCAATGTACATCAGAAGGAAATAAAGAAAAGGCAGGACTTTAGTTTCAGTGGAAAACATGGCAGCTCCAATGATATCAAGATTGCAGATCTTGAGAAAAAGAAAAACAAAATGAAGAAGCCCATTTTGGCTCTTCAGATCTTACTGCCCATGCTCACAGTGCTCATTCACTCAAAACAAACTGAAGACCCTTCTTAGGTATAGTCACTTCCTGGTGAAATCTATAGCAGCAATCATTTGATGGTTTATTCATCAGCAAGAGAAACTGACCTACCTGATTCAAACAGAAAAGTGTGTAGCAAATTTCTCAGGCTATCTGGGAAGGCTGAAGAACTGGGTTCAGAAAATGAACAGGAACAAAGGCAAGGCAGGCAGGAGGGCAACCAAAATCACAGCACAGAAGCAGACCAAGGTAGATAAGGAGCACACACCGCAGTAGCTCAGAGTACAGGTCCTCAAAGAAGCCTGTTTTGCTGACATCCTATCACCAACTAGCTGTGCAACCTAGAGCAAGTTGCTTAACCTCTCCATGCTTCAATTCATCTTCTGTAAAATCAACCTTTAAAAATGCTATATTCAACAAGTCTAAAATGTTGTGAATTGCAAGATGTACTGATATTTTGTGAGCCACTAGGAAAGAAAAACAATACTGCCAATTAAACTATGACACAGTGCTGTCTCATCACTTTTCATTTTATATTTCATAAAAATTCTTATTAGTCCCCTAGAGCAAGGGACATAAAGGGAAAAATAAACAAATGGAATCTCATCAAAATAAAAAGCTTCTGCGTGGCTAAAGAAAACAATATTAAAATAAAAAGAGAACCAACTGTGTGGGAAAACATATTTGCCAATGATACCTCAGACAAGGGTTTAATCTCCAAAATATATAAAGAATTCACATGACTCCACTCCAGGAAGACAAAAAACCCAATTAAAAATGGGCAAAGGACTTGAACAGACACTTCTCCAAGGAGGACATACCAAGGGTTCAGAATCACATGAAAAGATGTTCAATATCGCTAGCTATCAGAGAGATGCAAATTAAAACCACAATGAGATACCACTTTACACCAGTCCAAATAGCCATCATAAACAAAGCAACAAACAACAAGTGTTAGAGAGGATGTGGAGAAAAGGGAACTCTAGTGCACTGTTGGTGGGATTGCAGACTGGTACAACCACTATGGAAAACAGTATGGGATTTTCTCAGAAAGCTAAAAATGGAACTGCCTTTTGACCCAGCAATTCTACTGCTAGGATTATATCCTAAGAACCCTGATACACCAATCCAAAGAAACTATGCACCCCAATGTTCATAGCAGCACAATTTACAATAGCCAAGTGTTGGAAGCAACCTAGGTGCCCATCAGTAAATGAATGGATCATAAAACTATGGTACATTTACACCATGGAATTCTATGCAGCAGGAAGAAAGAAGGAGCTCCTACCCTTTACGACAGCATGGATGGAACTGGAAAGCAATATGCTAAGCTAAATTAGCCAGGCAGTGAAAGACAAATGTCATGTGATCTCACCTTTAACAGGAACCTAATCAACAAAACTAACAAACAAGCAAAATATAACCAAAGACACTGAAATAGAGAACAGGCTGATAGTGACCAGAGTGGAGAGGAGAGAGGGGAGGGAATTTCAGGGGAAAAGGGGAAGGGTTTGCAGGAACAAGTATAAAGGACACATGGACAAAAACAAGAGGGAGTAGAAATAGGAGGAAAGTGGGAAGGGCTGTGGGGTGGGATGGGATGGGAGTAAAAGACAGAAAACTGTACTTGAATAATTAAAATTAAAAAGTAGAAAAAAATCCTCATTAGATCTATTTAGATACAAGTTTTATCATATCACTTTTATACATAAAAATAAATTAGTGAGGATACTTCTAAATCTTTCTCAATTTAGAACCCAGCCCTCCCTACTGGCTTGTCATCCAGGTCATTGTTGTCCACATGTCAGCAGACTCTGGCTGCTCTTCTTTAGGTAGTATTTCTTCAAAGTTGACTCCACTCTTTTCTCTGGGACTATCAGCAAGCTTTGGGCACTCCTTCTCTAAAATCTGGTGCTACTGCTTTCTTAATATTACCAGAAGTATCAAGAAGCTTTCAGATGACAGCCATAGTCCTTTCCAAATGATCCTCAAAGGGTTTGTTGCCTAAAACAGGAAAGCATGTGGGTATCCTCTTATACTATCAGGAAGACCACTGAATGTGTGCAGCAAGACAGGGATGACAACTCCTGCAGGCATGAGTTGAACACTCTGAATACTCCCCAGATTGGTGATGCACCCCAGGTAGAGCAGTACCTCAGAACCCATGAAAATTGTTGCTATCAGCCCCCAAAAGACTGGTGTGAGGCTTGAGTTGATTCATACTATAAAGAACTTGGACCTAGGCCTGTACATTGTCAGCATTCAATTAACATCAATTACTTGTTTTTAAGAAATACTTGTAGAAAATTATAAGTATTTCATAAAGCTGTTCCCTTTTATATTAGTTTTGTAGATTGACCAGGGTACCTGGAAAACAAGGTAAAATGAGCTAAACTACTCTACCATTTTCAGGCTTTCAAAAGAAAT